CCTACAAGTCTTCTGAGCCATACTGTCCGTATTTGAAGCCCCTTACTGATGTAAGGGCACACCAGCACAGCAGTTGTGTTGCTGTACTCATTGAGTTTGAAGCTTTCAAGATTCAAGCAGGGAAATCACAGATGCAGGCATTTTGCCTGATACACATCCTGCCTATTCAGAAGATAATGGTAAATATGTCTCTTCTTTCTGACTCTCCAATCACCAGTTCTCTCCAATATCACTCCGTGCAAGTTCTGTTGCATCACATTATGGGTAAGTTCCAAGAACAAACAAAGATCAGGGAGAGAAATCTTAATTCTTTATTTTGCTGAGCTTTAAGCTTTTATTTTATATTAATGGGTCATTTTAGAAATAGCCTTAATTTTCACCATTTGAATATGAAAAATAGATGAAGGGTAGTCACGAATCTGTTGAATAATAAAGGACTCTTATGGTTACATAGAACTGTTACTAGTTAATATTCAGAATAGGCAAAACCAGTTGTAACAACTAATGAACTAAAGATAACAGCAATATATTTGATTGATACAAAATGCTTTATATACTGAACAAACTAGTAAAAGCAGGAATAGAGTTAGATTAGAACTTGTATCCAGTAGGAAATCCAGCATTTGCCTTTGTTCTAAATTTGGATAAATGGATTAGTTAGGATTTCCATGGGATATAATTCAGAAAGCTTTAATTCGGAACGATCCAAAGTATGTTATCTTTTAAGTAACAGACCCATTCCATTCAGCTAATATAAAATTATTGGTTTCAAGTCATAGCATGGTTTGGCTTGGAAGGGATCTTAAAGATCATCTGGTTCCAACCACTTTGCCATGGGCAGGGACACCTTCCACCACACCAGGTTGCTCAAAGCCCCATTGAACCTGACCTTAAACACCTCCAGGGATGGGGCATCCACAGCTTCTCTGGGCAACCTGATCCAGTATCTCACCACCTTCACAGTAAAGAATATTTTCCTAATATCTAATCTAAATCTAGACTCTTTCAGTTTAAAGCCATTCCCCCTTTCCTTGTCTCTACATGCTCTTGTAAAAAGTCCCTCTCCAGATTTCATATAGGCCCCCTTTAGGTGCTCAAAGGCTGCTCTAAGGTCTCTCCAGACCCACCCTTCCCCAGGCTGAACAAGCCCAACTCCCTCAGCCTGTCTTCGTAGGAGAGGTGGTCCAGGCTCTCTTAAGCACTAAAAGCAGCACACTTCAACATGCCCAAAACTCAGATTCTCTCCTGCCTTAGCTAGATTGCACCTTTGAAAATATTCACACTAAGTCAGGTGATGCTCATGGCACGTATTTTTATGGGGGACAATGCAGACTGCCACTAGAATATAACAGGACCCAGAGCACAGTTCCCACAAAGCAATGCGATGATACAGGAAGAGGATTCAATTTTTGTCAGACAGCCTAGCTTCATAGTAGGTCAGAATTTCTGACTCTCACTCAAAGCACGTGAAGTTCAGCCCTTCTGAATATGGGCTGAATACATGTTCATGTAACATGTTCAGAGAGAAAGGCCTGCAGCCCAATGGCATGTGCTATCATCTCATCTCAGGTTTTCACCTTTCCATCTCAAGCATTGCCAGTGCTGCAAAGTGGAAATGGCACACAGGCTTCCAGGTCTTGATCCTTCTCTTGGGCTACGTAACATAACAGGAGAGAGGTCACAAGTATGACCTCCCCAAAACCTGTGGGACAGGTTAGGATGTGCTGTGTGATCCTAGCTTACTTCAGCAAAACCAAACATTTCAATTCAGCTTGAAGTGAATCAACAGTTTGAATTTTCCTCACTTCTTTTTTATTCCAAAAATCTTGTTGTTTTTTTTTTTGGGGGGGGGGGGGGGGGGGTTGGAATGTGACACAGTACAAATTCTGCTTTCCTTTGGAAAAATGTTGCAAATGAAAAACTCCCCCACAGCAACAGTAGTGACCTCAGAGATAACCAGCCATGCCCATGGTGGCTTTCAACCTATCTCCTCCCTCATCACTTGCAAGGCACCAGCTCTCATGCTGTCCAGGACAGCCTGGCCTCACCTGGCTAAGGGGGAAAGTGAGTAGCAGAGCTGTCAGGCTCAAAAAAGATCTGTAGCTTGGACGTCCGTTCTTCCTACTGCTGTAGCAGCAGCAGGAGCAGAGAGGCTACTGCAGGATCCTCCTGCCTCAAGAGATGCAGGTTTTACCTGGGTCAATGCAGCTAAAAAAACAACGGGCAGACTGGGTCATTTGTACTAGGGGAGGAGGGTACTTGAAGAGGAGATTTAGTGCAAAGATCTGCTTCATGATCAGCATTAGCTAGATAGGGCTGTGGTAGTGTCGTCATCCAGGACAGATTTAGACCCATTTTCTAGCAGCATACACACCTATTACTTAATAAACTTACCAAATATAGGGCCAGCAGATTAAGTACTCTTATAATAGTCACTGTTTTTTCAGCTTTCGTAGGCACAGAGAAGTGAAGTGGCTGGTCAAAGGCCACAAAAGCCTGATGAATTTACCTACTGCATCTCCTGAGCATCTGGGAAATCCTGGAGTCATAGCTCCATCCCTGTGCTCAAACCATTAAATCAACACCATTCCCAGGCACCAGAATCACATCAAGTCTTTTGATACTTGCAGGGGATACAATCGTGTAACATACACATCTACATGCTTTCTGCACACCCTACATCGATGGTAGTCAGCCTGGATGAAGATTTTCCTACTTCTTCAGTTAGATACTTAACATGTGTACTGAATATAATACAGTAGCAGGATGAACACCTTAAGGAAATGCTTCTGCCACTCTCTCTTTTATGTGATCCTTAAACCCTTTTTCCCTGCATACCCAGGGCTGCACTTGGATATTGCACGCACTGCAGCAGAACCCTGGGAATGGTGCATTTTCTTGAATCAACCAAACTCTGCAGCCCTGTTTGCTGCCTGCTCCACTGAGCTCAGCCTTCAGCTCCATCGCTGAAATTTCTTACCCTTGGGCACTGCACACTCGTCTCTCCCACTCCTGGGAATAAAAGCATTTCTGGTACCTCAGTTGCCAGCCAAAGCCGATGACAAGGTGAGAGAAATCTCCACTTACTCCTTTCCCCCATCTGTTACATGTTAGGAGGCAATCAATTAGAGAACCACAGGGAGAATATAGCTGTGCTGGGGAGACGGGGTTGTAGAGAAGTGCTCTCCCTTCTTGGGATCAAGTCAGGTGATGTTATCACCCATGCTCATACTTGTTTCAGGCAGTGCTGCCCTGCATTATTTTCTTTTGAATTTCTCTGAAAACTCTTCAAAAGTTCCCATGTCTTTTTTTACCTCTTTAGGTTAGGCCTCTCTTCTGCTCTGCCACAGAGGTGCTCCAGTATCGATCCCACAAGGGGTTAGTTTTTCAGTCTCTTCCTGTATAAGCAGCTCCTAGGGCTTTGCTTCAGAGTACTACTCTGTCTCTCCTTTAGCACCTGAATGTGCCAAAACGAAACACTGGGAATGGGTCCAAGCAGTGGAGGAGGGACAGAGTCAGTGCTGACAGTCAGAAGTGCAAGTAAAAGTTCACATTCAACCACAGGAGATTCAGCAATGACAGATCACAGACACCCTGCCAGGGTACAACAGGCCAATGCCCTAGAGATGACCATGCTTTCCACACAGCATAATGAAAGAAGAAGAGTCAGTGGGGCAACACAAAGTGATTATTCCCACAGCTGGACAACAATGAGGAGAGACATTTAGAATCTATGAAATTAAGCTAGAAATAGTGAATTCTGCAGAGACCTGGGCTGAACTGCACCCTATACTACTTTGTCCACTCCAGAGTTGAATATCCCAAGTGACAGAGAGTAGTCAGGCCCACTCAATGAACAAAAAATGAATGCTCTCCCCACATGTGCCTTTCTTTCATCTCACAGGAGGCAAGGAAGTGTTGCCATGGTGGATTTACCCCAGCCAACTGCCAAGTACACACAAAGCTGCTTGCTCACTGGACATCTGTACAGTAAACCCATCGTGGGTGGGTAAACTCAATGCATTTTCCACTGGAAGGTGAAAACTTTTCCCAGTTAAAGACTGTAGGAAGGAAAGGCTTTGCTCACACAGGGCCCGCTTATGTAAGTACACCCAAGCATCTATAGATATTGGAGCTTGCCTGGAGGAACTCCTTCTTTTGGCTTTACTGTAACTGTGTGAGTGCTCATCTGCAGCACACCTATGCAGTCAGGACACAGTCATACGCCTCACATGTGAACTGTACATGTAGGTGCAATGCACTGCAATTCATCTACACACACATGCACCAAGGTTTTCAAAACCACCCGAGGAATTCCTCATCCTTAGTAAGACTGACAAAACCTGGGTATCTCTATCTCCTTCAGTATCTAATATTTTTATGTTTAAATAACTTGCATCTTAATGAAAAGGGCTGTTGCAACTAACCAAGGAGGAACACAGGACTGACTCTCATACAAGTGCCTGTCCAGCCTTGTGGTGAGGTCTATATGAAGTCCACGGCCACAAATTAAGACTGGCAGGACAGAGTGAGAAACTTTCTATTCCTGCAATGCTGGAGCTTTCACTTCAAGGTGCAGACATCTATGACAAGAAGCTACCTCTAGGCAGGAGCACATACTCTTCAAATGGGCCTCAAAAAAAACATCTTTAAAGTGCAAAGCATTTCCTTTCCAGGCCTCACTCCACTAGCAGCCACATTATCAGGGTATCAGTGCCACTAGACCAGACACCCAGATCTGGTAGCCAGTCAGGCTATGCTAGGCAAAGGTTCCTACCATGACAAAACCTAACTTCAGGTCCACGTTGATTTGGAAGGACCAGAGCTGAGCGGGAGGAAAGAGGAAGCATACAAAAGGATGGAGTTTCAGGTCCATGACATGCACCCTCTCCTTCCCCTTTTTATATGACATGGAAATATCACAGTCTCAGCAACGTCTGGGGCTGCCTCCCTTTTTGCTATGAAACAGACCTATCAGTTTCCCTCCCTTCCCACCATACCTTGAATAGTCCTTTTGAAGAAGGCTTTGCATGCCTCACAGGAAGCCACACCGTAGTGGTACCCAGAAGCAATGTCCCCGCACACCAGGCACAGCCGCTTGGGGATTGCATTGAGCATGTACTCGCACTTGGTGGGCGAGTCCTCCATGATGGCGCTGGCGCAGTCATCGTAACGCTTGCGGCAGGACCCACCACCAATCCCTGTGCCGTTGAACATGGGTGGTGAGTCTAGGCCATTGGGGTGGCCACCCATGGCGATGCCGTAGCCACCGCTAGCATCGGAGGAGCCACTTGGGCTGTGGTGGCTGATGGCGTCGATGCCAGAAGATGGGCTGGAGGGCTCGGTCTTGATGAAGGACCCACAGCTGGAGGAGAGGTGCCGCTCCTCTGTCGCCATTCTGCCAAGCAGCCTGCAGGGAGAGAGCAAAGGCACTCAGAGACCTCCTGGCCAAACCCAGCTCTAGGTTGGTCAAAAGAGATCTCTCCTTTTCCCACCTCTGTCCAGCTCCCGTTGGCTCAGGCTGTTCAACCCCACCCTAGTTCTTCTCCTTCAGGAGTATCAGTACAACTCAGTAAAAACAGCATTCCTATTACCCACAAATTCACAGTAGAATAAAGACAAGGCTATTCATGTAGACCATGATTTCAGGCTGTTCAAAGGCTGCAGTGCTGCGAAGGGGCATCAGTGCTGATGAGGCACAATCTACCCAGAGCACAATCTAACCCTGGGACAGCAGAAAGAAATGAGCCTGTCTGTGGTAGACCTAGAGAAAAAGATGTTTGTTTAGTTCAGAATGTGCTGCCCTGGCTCTAAGCAAAGAGTTCACAAGCAGACCCTGCAGAAAGGACTTGCTCAGATTGGATTTTCTTTTGTAATACAGAAGTAGTTGATTAATTTTCATGTTGGATTTCCCCTTCCCTCTCCCCTCCCCCTTCACTCTCACCACTAAAAGAGGAGCTTAGAAACTGATGGAAAATCATCTAATCAAGTTTCATGCAGCTTAATCTTAAATCTTTATCTTTCTTCTATTTACTAGTATAGGGCTTTTGCATGGAGATGCTTCTCTCATATTCCCATTTCTTAAAAGAGAGGTTTATGCTCTTAAGTATACAGAAAGGACTGCATCTTTACCAGATTTGAGACTCTTACTTAGAATCACAGAATGGTTAGGGTTGGAAAGGACCTTCAGATCATGTAGTTCCAAACCATCTGTCGGGGGCAGGGATGCTTCACACTACATCATGTTGTCCAAGGCTCTGTCCAGCCTGGCCTTGAACACTGCCAGGGATGGAGCATTTACCCCTTCTTTGGGCAACCTGCTCCAGTGGCTCACCACCTTCACAGTAAAGAACTCACTTTAGTTAAAAAAATAAAGTTTAATAAAGAATAATAATAATAAAAAAGTTTAATAAAACTACTTATTTTAGTGAGATAGTCTTACTCTTTACATAAATGTTCAGTCTTTTTTTTAGAACACTGCTATTTTTATGACATCTTATGGCAATGAGTTCCAGGGATTACTTTTGTGGTGTATAAACAAACAAAAAAAAACCCCACTTTTATATGCCTATACTGTATTTGCAGCCTTTCAGGCTCCCTGAACATCTCCTGGCACTCGTCAGGAAATGTACTTCTGCCATGTTCTCCTCATTCAGCTCTTTGCTATCTATATAATTGTTCTTCACGCAGAAGTTTTTGCAGACCTCTTGTCTGCTTCATCATCTATCTCTGAACTTCCTCTTGTCTGGCTATTTCTGTTCAGTCCAGAGCAGAGTTCAATGAGCCAGCTCCTCAGCAGCATGAAACTGGCACTGCTCCATCACTTCTCCAGCTGAAGGTCTGGACAGTGGTCACACCATCAATTACTTACTGAAGTTACCATATTTTCAATGTTATTTTCAACCTATTATATAACTCCTTACACTGTTTCCTTTTTTTTTTGTCTTTAAATCAAAATCTAAATTGTTACCATTTCTTCAACAGAGAATATCAGCAAGTTGCTTATTGCAATCCCCAGATCTGTTTCTGTGTTGCTGCAGTTAATTTAGAATCCATTAAGACGTATGAAAGATCAAATTAATGCCTTCTGATGTGCAATGTTTTCCAATAGGCAACAGCGCATTTTATCTACCACTGTGCTGTCCATGCATCCAGCTTTATTAGGATCCTCTGGAGTTTTTCAGTCTTTCTTGATAATTTGATGTCACCTGCAGTCTCATTGTTCATCCACATCCCACATCATTAACACATGGATCAAACACCACAACACTGATCTTTGTGGGTGATTCATGTTAACCTTTATGATGCTGAAAATTGACTTCTCTTTCTTTTCTGGGTAGGGTATGTCTACCTTTCCTTTTCTGTCTCAGACACTTTTTAATTGATAATAGTATTAACCTGAGAGGTTAAACTTTCCCTTAAGCAAGATAGTTTTTCAAAGGCTTTTAAGAAAACCTAAATACATTCATTTTCCTGATGACATGTCCAAAGAATTCTGACTGACTGGAGATGCTTGACTTTTCTTCTTGGAAGCTCTGCTGGTTTAAAGTTACCATACCACAGTCATGTGGGTAACTTCTATTTCAGTTTCAGCCTATTTACCTGATGTTTGTGGCAACTCCTTCTGCCAAAAGGTCAAACCTGTCAGGAGACAGGACAAAACATTCTGTGATACAGCAAGGCTGGAGTGCACGTGTATATACATATATATCACATCTCTGTGTCTGTTGATATGAATGTGGATGTTTGATATGCAGCAACTTCACACTCCTGCATCCTTATGATTTCATTTGACCCACGTATCTCCTAATTTTCCCTTCTCTGTTTCATCCTCGATGTTTGACTTCATCTCCTACCTCTGGAATCGATCAGCTAAGTTTGTTATTTGGCAAGACTCTTGACCTTGAGAGTATGGGCAGGCATCTCACGTTCCTCAGCTGTTTTGTGTGGTGTTACTTGAGAGGAATTCAGAAGCTGGTTCCTCTCAGAGACAGTGTGATGAGCTGATGAATGCCCATACTTTGCTCAGAGGGTCATACTGGACTAGAGGCCATGGAGCAGTCACAGGAATAATTGCTGCAGGTGCATTCATCTTTAATCCCACAGGGCACCTAAACAGATTGCAGATCTCCTGGTGTAATGCCAACTGACTGTGTGGATGAAGATGAAGCTTTGCTAGTTGAGACCAGATCTTAGCATCTCATAGCAAAGCTGCTGTGCTGGCCAGATGCTGGGACTTTTCCCTACCTGAGAAGTACATTTGTAGTAAAAATCTGAAGTTCATTGGGCGCAATAACATGAACTGGGCACAAAATGGAAGGCAAAACCACCATAAAACACTGTTCTGCACTGTGGAACTCCACATTAAAAGGAGTTGGAATGCTAAAGGCAGACAGAGGACACCACTATGATAAAGGCATGACAAGGAGGTGAGCTGTACTGTCAGATTCAGTCAGCAGAGTTCAAATCCCAGTTTCTGTCTCCTAAAAAGCCCAGAATTCCCAGAGAACCTCAAGAGGACCCACTAAGGTACTTCCCCTCCATAAAAAAAAAATAAAGAGGGGAGATCAGTCTCCTAGGACCAAGGCACTTCTCAACTCAAAACCTCAATTAAGGAGCCTTCCTCCCCAAGGAAGGCAAACAGTGACAGTGACTGTCTGATTGCAAATCAAGGATAGCAACAAACCCCCTACACCCTCACAGCTGAGGATGCTCCTGTTCCCTTCTAGGAGACGGTAATACACAGTGAGTTCTGGTTAGATGTGAACATGAGCTTTAGAGGCAAAAGTCCTAAACACCAAGACAGATCAAAGAGCATAGCTAAGGTGACTCCAGCCATTTCAGTCCTTGTATTACTCTTTTCTGGTCTCTGGTGCAATTTGCATAGTTGATTATTGCTGGGCAATACACACTGAGTTAAGCCTCACTAGCTCTGACTTTCTGCAAGTCTCATGGAGATCCCGTGGTGATTTTTAAACAGGTTCAAGAGTGTCCCCTGGCAATGAAATACAACATCTTGAACTTCAAGAACAGCTAAATGTTTCTTGCAAAGAGTTCAAAGTGATGAACAGCCATTTTGCTCATCTCTAGTTACCTTAATAGGAATGTAAAAGGAGAGAGACTTGATCCAACTCTCCTCCATGCTGGCACAGGAAACTCCGTTACTATTTCGGTGCCTGTGTAACAGGCTTAGAAGTTCTAAATGTTTCGTTCTTTTCACCTTTCCTCATCATAGGTCATTCCCTCTAATCCCTTTAGCATCTTTGTGGCCCTTCTCTGGACTTCTTCCAACTTGCCGGGTCTCTCTTGCAGCAAGGTGCCCTGAATCACACAATGCAATGCCACAGCAGTACAGGGAAGAGTCACTCTAGAAAGCACACAGCCAGGCAGATGTATGGACCAACTAAGCAGTAGCTTTGCCAGACATCAGGCTGCACTTCAGCTCACACCATTTGATAGCCACTGTCTCATTGGGACCTCTCTGAATATAAGCTGCTTTTGCTATCATGTTCTACACAACATGAAATTTGGAGATTCTCCTTGTTCCAAAGTAGATCCAGTATCATCTTTAAATCACACACTGCCAATTGCCACTTGTTTTACCAAAGCCTGTTGATAATACTAATCTATTCATCCTACCTCTTCTTTTTTCTACTTTGTTTTCTTTTCTTCTATCTTTCAGTTCTGTCAACTGTAAAGTTGAGAACTTTGCATTTTCCTCCAGGTTGCTAATGAATATTTAAAGTCAAAACACTGCCCTTTTGGACACCACCTTTGCAGAAGGATAAAGAATGTCTCTAACCCTTCTGTTTACACCCTGTCAGCTAATCCGCGATTCATTTCACAGGATTTGTATCAAAACCAATTTGATCTAATTTCCCTAATCAGATCTTGCACAGCTTTGTGTCAAAAGCCCATGCACTGTCCAGAGACAGTCTATCCATTGCATTCCTTTTATCCACTAATTATCTAATTGTATCAAGAGAGGTTATTGTCTGCTGTACTCCTGTTTCATAAACCCACTGCTGCTTATCACTAACAATGTTGTTAGCCTTTATGTGCCTGTAACAGCCCTCAGACAGGCATGCTCCAACCTCAGTGATTCTGGATGTAAATACTCAGGTTTAGACCAAGTTAAGATTGTACTTAAGGTTTTTATCCATTAGTGTTATCGCCCTCAGGCAGTGATGTTAGGTTAACGTTACAAGTTCCACCAATTCTTCTCCAGCCTTTCATCTTTTGCCATTTCTCTGTAATGCCTGGACTGCTTACGAGTTTAATGCTCTCTTGAGAACAGCAGCAATACTAAGAGAAGGAAAGACTGCCAGATGGACAGGACCAGAAAGGGACATTAGCGTTATAAAATCAAGGCAGTAAATATTGCCCCAATTTTTTTTTATTTTTCAGCTT